CCCCCGCCAACCCCGCCAACCCCGCCAACCCCGCCAACCCCGTTACTTAACGTCCTTGCGTAATGCCCCCCTCCTCGTTCGCCCCACCCACCCACCCCATGTCAAGGTTATATATATATACACCCCTTTTGCAGGTTCCCAAATCACTATTTGCCATTTTTTACCAATCAACACTAGCTTTAATTCTACAACTGCGCATGCTGGGTGACATTATAAATATTCAATACCTATTTCAATTTCAACTCCCACTTTCATCAACAAGTCCCTAGCTATTCTAACCCATTTTAGGCTTATAACTCGACAACATCCGTCTTGTTAATACTGCGCTATATTGCACAATGAACAACAGTTGGAAATGTACACTAGCTTGTCATATTTCGTCACAATAACATCAATTGTTGTGTTGACAACAGACTTGAGTATTCTTCATCAACTGACAAACATTTTCCTCATGTTTACTATTCAGTGACTGAATGGAATGTGGTTTCTACAAAATGTAATTTGAGCCACCCGACCCTCACAACCAGCCCATTCACCCCTGATTACCCTCTGGCATGTCTGGAGTATCTCTCAGGCCCCAAACAGCCGTTAAAACCACAGACATAACCCCATTTGACATTCCATTTTGGTCACAGGGGTGATCGAAATAATCCCAATGTATATAGTGCATTTGTACACAAGCCTATGTAAATGTGCACAAGCACACAGGGTTTTCCCGCCAATTTTCAACCCCTCCAGTATGATCACAAGACTGACACCCCCTCTGAAGGATGTACTATGGTCCATACTACGATCTGGCGATAGATGGCCCCGGGTGTGTTTACCACGTGGCCAGGACAATATAAAACATAAAAATGTGTAGAGTCAATATTCCCTCCTGAATCCAGGTAGAGTTTTAACAAAATCGCCAAGCATGTACTTTCCATTCCCAAGCACAATAATGAGCATTTGCGTAAACATTACACAAGCAGAGTATCATCCAGCCATTCTCTTTGTTTTGCCAAAAAAGAGTTAACGTGTACAAAATCATGCAATTGATGACAAATGGTACCAAGACACTTCTTACCCTTCTTAGGCCAAAAAAAAAAAATGTTCGGTCTCTGGTCAGACCAAAGTTCCGGAATTGACGCGGCCACGCGGCTTTTTTTTTTTTTTTGGCTTTTTTTTTTTATTCAAGCTTGGATTGTACAGACAAGGTAGGTACTATTTTGCTTTTTTGGTGTCCTCATGTACATCGGTGTCCTCCATAATTTGCTTTGGTGCTTTCGATCATTTGCCTTGGTGCAATTTCCCATTCCTTGGTGCTCTTTGGTAAAAAAAAATTGAGGAGGGCCGGAAATAGAGGGCGCTGTTTGAGCTACCGCGGAACATTTTGCAAAAAAAAAAATCGACGCGCATGATTAAAATCGACGCGCGCGCTGACCAGTGACCGACTTATTGTTTTTTTTTGGCCTTAGGCATAATTTTTTTTTTAACTCGACAACATGCATCTGTCTTTTTCATACTCCGAAATAACCTGCAAAATTTCTTATACTCCATATTGTGATTTTCCAACTGTTTCTAATGTTCAAACTTTGAGCAATAAATTCAGAACTTTTTCAATTAAAACATATTGTTCTGCATCAACTTACAAACGTTTTCCTCTGATATCTTTTGAAGAAAACCACAAAATTTAAACATTCCATATGCATGCACCATCCAATAATTAGCATTTGCATGACCATTACATAAGCAGATAATCATGTACATTTACCACTTACATTGACAGTTTTATTGGGCAGATTATAAATCTGGGAAGAAGGGGCTTGGGAGAGTGCCTGTCTTAGCCATGAAATCCTAACAAACGTACTATACTTCAACAATAAACAAATATTTCTTGGAAGGTTCCGCCCTCCAAAAAAAACATTTTAATAGAGCAACACGCAATTAAAATTTAGGTGGGCCGCTCTCTTCTCTATTCCAACCCATTCAATACATTCTCCTTAATTTCAGTTGAAACTTACAAGTACATGTAAAATAAGAAGCAAAATTTCTTAATATTTTCAGCATGTCAGAGTCCAGACATAAAACCCTCTGTAAGTTGTAGCCCTGTTCAGTGAATGATGGAAATTTTGGTGTTACGCTCGAGTGATTGCTTTGTGCTATGCGCGTTTACTTTTAAATCAGTCACACACAAGTTGACAGCAGTAAAAACAGCAGCACCGGGTGCCCTATTCACAGCTATGGCACAGTGCCATCCCCGGTGTGTTGACTACCATTGTGCTTTGCTAGCTAGGAGGATTCTGCTGTAAGGACCGTACGGTAAGTTCCCTCTTCAGATTTCAGACTGTCTATAACTTCCTTGTAGTGTTTGTGTTATTGTGACATAGTTGTGATTGGCTTTCTGTGCAGTGGTAAGGACGATTTTCTGGACAACGTGACTTCATTTTGCAAATTTTGTCGGTATTACCCCAAAAAAATGTATTGACACCGGTAATCTCAATAAATAGTAGGCAGATTTTCTACACACCCTGACTTCACTTTGAATGGGTTTTGTCTGTTACTAAAACTTTCTCGACGACAATAATCTGAGTTTTCTACTCAATATTTAATATGCAAGTGTTGCTAGACACCCAAGAACTACCTACAATACCATTGCACACCCAAGAAAATTGTAATGACGCCGACGTGTCTTTTCTTTCAATATTTAACATGCATGTGTTGCCAGTTACGCTCAAGCTCTAGCAAGAATTTCAATACAATATTAAAAGCAAATAGTTTTTTAATTATCGTGTGAGTGTGTTCTTTAGTAATCATGTGACATAAGCATGATTGTGTTTCTGTGTAATAGTGAGCACAGGCGTAGCCGGGAATTTGGAACACGGGGTGGGGGAGTCCGACCGTCCCTTACAAACCCAAACCAGGGGCGGAACAAGCATTTTCCAAAAGAGACGGGCATGAAATGTAACAAGAAGCAAATGGTGAAGGCAAGTCGTGGCGCCTACGATGAACGCAAACGATTGAAAGTAATTCGAGCGCGTAGATAGCCTTGGTTAACGATCTTGTCGTTATTCGTCCCGTACGAGGTAATCAATTGGCGGCATATCGTCGCGCGCTATGCAGTGCATATACAAAAAATACAGCGCGAACAGCGACCTCATGCGGCCACTATTTTTATGCAAATCAGTTGGGGACGATCGATCGACCCCAACTGAAATCTTGAAAATATTGGGTGCTTGAATGTTGATTGATGCTCCTCTTACCTTGAAAAGAATTTCTGCATTGTTTGGAGAAAAGTCCTTTTTGGGTGGCCAAATTTGATGAATAAAGTAAGGCTTAACCCCTTGTGTGTTTTTTTTTTAAATTTTGGATCGATCGTCCCCAACTGATTTTCATAAAAATAGCGGCCGCATAAAGTCGCTGTTCGCGCTGTATTTTTACATGCACTGCATAGCGCGCGAGGATAATGCCGCCGATTGATTACCGCATACGTGAAGAATAACGACGAGAACATTGACCAAGGCTAGGATTAGTTCCGGAATTGATGCGGCGGTTTTTTTCTTTTTAGTGGCCTAATTTTTGCAAGCGAGAATTGTACAGACAAGGTGGGTACTATTTTGCTTTTTTGTGTCCTCTTTATATATTAGTGTCCTCCCTAATTTGCCTTGGTGCCCTTTATCATTTGCCTTGTTGCAATTTCCCCATTCCTTGGTGCTCCTTGGTACAAAAATGTGAGGAGGTGCGGCAATAGAGGGCGCTGTTATAGCTTCCGTGTTAATTTGAAGAAAAAAAGGTTGACGCGCATGATTAAAATCGACGCGCGCGCTGACCAGAGACCGAGTAATTTTTTTTGGGCCTTATGGATGTTTTTGGTTCTATCTCAGACAATATATAACCACTTAAACCAATTTTTTTAAGCAAAAGATAATCATTTTAACCATCGAATTTGGAAACGTTAAATCAAGTATGATAATACTGAGAACTCTAAAATCAATATTATGTAATATTATGCTACAATATTTATTCGAGGGCGAAAAAAGAGGTTGGGCCAAACGATATGATACCCCTACATCCAAAAATGGGGCGGAGGATATCCCCCCCCCCCCGATTGACGTCCATGCGTGTCCTCCGCGCGCCATCCATGCTAGAGAGGTATATAACAGCTCAATTCCTTTTTTTTTGGCCAAAAGTGAGAAATACACAAGGGGTTAGCCTTACTTTTTTGAGGAAATCGAATCGAAATGTGTTCTACAGTACTTTAGGCATCTTTCCAGCAAATTTCAGGCAATTGCATATTTTGGCCAAAATTGAAAAAAACAGGGGTTAGCCTTACATTTTCGATGAAATTTGACTAAAATGACTTTCCTTCAAACTATGCACAAATGCTTTTAAAGGTGAGAGGAGCATCAATCAGCATTCAAACGCCTAATATTTGAAACATTTTGGCCAAAATCATCAATTTTTATTGAACAAAAAGAATAATATTTTAGACTGTTTTTACCGCAAACTTTTGTCAAAATATCCTTTTTAAAAGCTGATCTGTCCGGAAATCAAATCGGAATGTGTTCTACAGTCCTTTAGGCATCTTTCCAGCAAATTTCAAGCAATTTCATTTTTTGGCAAAAATAAAAAAAAACATAAGGGGGTTAGCCTTACTTTTTTGATGAAATTTGGCCCAAAAATGACGTTTCATCAAACAATGCAGAAATACTTTTAAAGATGAGAGGAGCATCAATCAGCATTCAAACGCCTAATATTTAAAACATTTTTGCCAAAATCATCAATTTTTATTGAAAAAAATAATATTTTAGACTGTTTTTACCGCAAACTTTTGTCAAAATATCCTATTTAAAAGCTGATCTGTCCGGAAATCGAATCGGAACGTGTTCTAGAGTCCTTGAGGCATCTTTCCAGCAAATTTTGAGCAATTGCATTTTTTGGCCAAAATTGAAAAAACATAAGGGGTTAGCCTTACTTTTTTGATGAAATTTGGCCCAAAAATGACTTTCCTTCAAACTATGCAGAAAAACTTTTAAAGGTGAGAGGAGCATCAATCAGCATTCAAACGCCTAATATTTAAAACATTTTGGCCAAAATCATCCATTTTTATTGAACAAAAAATAATATTTTTAGACTGTTTTTACCGCAAACTTTTGTCAAAATATCCTTTATGAAAGCTGATCTGTCCGGAAATCAAATCGGAATGTGTTCTACAGTCCTTTAGGCATCTTTCCAGCAAATTTCAGGCAATTGCATATTTTGGCCAAAATTGAAAAAAACATAAGGGGTTAGCCTTACATTTTCGATGAAATTTGACCCAAAAATGACCTTCCTTCAAACTATGCAGAAATACTTTTAAAGGTGAGAGGAGCATCAATCAGCATTCAAACGTCTAAAATTTGAAACATTTCGGCCGAATTTATCCATTTTTATTGAATTTTTTTTTTTTATAGTCTGCTTTTACCGCAAACTTTTGTCAAAATATCCTTTTTAAAAGCTGATCTGTCCGGAAATCGAATCGGAACGTGTTCTAGAGTCCTTGAGGCATCTTTCCAGCAAATTTCGAGCAATTGCAGTTTTTGGCCAAAATTGAAAAAAAAACATAAGGGGTTAGCCTCACTTTTTTGACGAAATTTGGCCCAAAATGACTTTTCTTCAAACT